TTTGATTACCTCTCCTTGTACCTTCTCGTGGCCAGCCACCTGTCCCGTTGCCACTGTAACACCATCTGAATGGACAGCCAAGCTTAATATTGCAAAAAAAAAAAATTCTTAGAGGGACAAAAATAATAAAGAAGGAAGAAAGATGGCAAGCAAGCAAGCAGGTGAATGGGCGGCGGGCGGGCGGGCAGGGAGGCAGGACACTACCTTTTTATATCATCAGTGTGTTCTGTATAGTGCCTCTGTAGCATCTTTATCTTGTCCAAGATAGCAGCAACTGCTGCAGTAAAGTAAATCAGGTCCCCTGACTTAAGRACAAACAGGTTGTTACGGCAATCATGTCCACGATACCCATAACTGATATGTAATGCAAAAAAAAAAACGTTAGTGACCTGTCAGTTTCCCCTGGTTTCTGCATGGTGCAGTAAAAAGTCCAAAGCGGCATTTCATCTGTGTTGCCATAGTAACATGTTCGAGCTACCTTAATATTTTCAGGAAATACTTACACCCATTCCAGGACAGGTTTCTCATTGGGTGGTTCGGCAGGAGCATCAATGTYAATCAAGTCATCAGGAGGATAGGCATAAACCTTACGACCTCTGATGTTCACATACGTTGGGTCTGGGGCTGTGAAACAATCATCAGAGAAAGAATCAGTTATATGTGAATGATGATGAAAATCATAATAATTTATATTTAGAAAAAGGTTAGAAATATTGCCCATGACTCATGCTGGTGATGGTGTTGTGATGATAAAGATTAGGGTAATGAACTCGAAGGTGATGGTGATGATGGTGATGATAATGACCATGGTGATGATGATGGTGAGAACGATGGTGATGATGATGATGATAATGATGGTGATGATGATGATAATGATGGTGGTGATGATTGTCATAATGAAGATGATCCATGTTTATCGTGATGATGATGTCAGCATCTTAAATCAAGCTCTGATATCAGAGATAATCAACCTTCCACTCAGTCTCTAATCACGACAGATAACTTTATTTTTTGTTGATGCAAAAAATTAATTTTTTAAAATGTTCTTTTGGCTTTTGTTTTTACCATGCTAAACAATTTATTTTCAAAATTAAAAAACAATAATTTTTAAAATTGTATTTAATTAATCTTTGCTGCTGTTGGTAGTATTTTATGACTGACAAACTATAAACTTAAAATTTAGGTCAATATTTAATGGAATGTTATTTAACTTTTATTTACCTGACAAAGGCCTTTTTTGGTTATCATCATTATCATCATTTTTGATTACAAGGCGTTGCCCTGTAACATCATGTCATTTTAACCAATGTTAATAGTTTATTCCTTGATTTAACATAAACTGCAAATTATATTCTTCTTATAGGAAATAATATTCTTATTATTAAGGTATTTTTTAAATAGATATTAAAGTTCTGTTTCTCTAATCAAATTTTTCTCTGAGAATCAAATTTTTCTCTGAGAGCTCACAGGGCGGGATTCAAACCTGTGACCTACTGTTTGCTAGTTAGATGCTCTAACCACTGAGCTACTGAAACTCAGTATTAAATTATTATATTTTTATTTTTATCAATAATAGAAACAAACAAACGAGAAAAACAACTCAAATTAACATTTGTGATTTTTGGAAGTTTGAACCTTATTTTAAACAGTAATTTTTACCAGCCTCCCTATGCCTAGATGTTTGTCCCCTACCCCTCTCCTCTTAGTACATAATTGTCCACTACCCTCTCTCCTCTGAGTACATAATTGTCCCCTACCCCTCCCCTTGTAGTAGGGTATTTGTTCTCACCAGTGTTGGTCTGTGTCTGTATACTGCTCGTCAGATTACTGCCAGTTCTATTGTTCACATGTTGTTGTTGTTGTTGTTGATATCCTCTTTTCCCAAGAGTCTTTGACATCTTTATTTGATCTCCTGTYTTGAGCATGGCTTTCTCCAAGAATTCAACAAAGTCTCTCCAACTACAATGAAGAAAAAATTCTTCAATATTTCTGGATTGTTAAACTAAAAAAAACAACAAACAAACAATACTGTATATAAAAAATGAAACCGCCTAAAGAACACCAAAGCATGAAAAATATTTTGTTATATATGTTTTATTTATTATCATTGTCACTGTCTCTGTCACTATCATCTTTATCATCATCATCATCACCATCATCATCATCATATTATTATTATCACCATCATCATCATCATCATCACCATCATCATTACCATCATCATCATCATTACTCTTGCTATTGATATCGCTATTGATATCACTATTGCTATTGCTGTTGCTATCACTATCGCTATTGTTGTCATCTGTCATCATGATCTTTTTTATCTATATATATTTAAAGTAATTTGTATTGCTATTTGTACTCACAAAACCCATCCATCTCGTCCCAAGTCAAATCTATTTAGTATTCTCTCAAGTAACGCAGGGCTGATGGGAAGCCTGTGGTGATGACATAACCACTTCATCTGCAATAAACAAAGCAAATTAAACGTAGGATTAATGGAATGAATAAGTGGATGGGATATGTTGGTAGGAGATGGGGGAAGGAAGAGATGGATGGATGGATGGATGGATGGATGGATGGATGGATGGATGGATGAGATACATGGATGAATGGGATGGATGGATGGATGGATGGATGGATGGACAGATGAATGAATGAATATGGACAGACAGACAGATAGATGAATAAATTAACCAATCAACCAATCCACCAGGTATATCCTGCCTGTCAATAATCCAAGTGATAATTCCTTACCTCTCTAAACCCAATACTTCCAGTCAGACCTCGATCACAATTCTCAAATGATGATTTTAGCTCCCTTAGATCAATCTCTCTCGTCACCTGGCTGAGCTGTTTCTCCAAGTCTTCAAGAAGTTTGTTGTCATCCAATGTTTTACTGGCTTGTTGGTTTAAATATGAGTTCAGGGTWGGGTTGGAAACGTGACCTTGTATCTTACCCTTGTCTGGAGTGACAGCTTTGTTGTGGCACTCTGAAAGAAAACATTCAAGCAGAAACATTTCTTTGAGTATCATTTCATTCTTTACTGGGAATGCTTTTCAGCTATGGTGYAATGTTTTCCCATTTCAGACCATGTGTCATTCCCTTGAGTATTATTTCTTTCTTTACTAGCAATGTTTTTCAGCTATGGTGTAATGTTTTCCCATTTCAGACCATGTGTCATTCCCTCGAGTATTATTTCTTTCTTTATTGGGAATGTTTTTCAGCTATGGTGTAATGTTTTCCCATTTCAGACCATGTGTCATTCCCTTGAGGATTATTTCTTTTTATACCAGTCCTGAGAGCTTGTTTTCAATGTGTGTCATCATCATCACTATCATCATCATCAATATCATCATCCCCACCACTATCTTGATCGTATTACTTATAATCATAAATAATTGCTTCAAACATAAATCTTCAGCAAATGAAATTTTCTTAAAATAAAAGTCCCCTTCAAAGACAAATTATGACTGTACCTTCCAGGAAATTCCATAATTTTTGGTACATCACACCACCACCCTTGGCCTCAAACCTCTTGATAAGAGACTGCATTGTGGTGCCAAGAATAAAGATATTGTACAACAAGAAAACATCATTCAATTCCTTGGTSGTAATCTGGCCAGATTTGTCATAATCCAACCTCTGGAAAGTGGTGCGGACATTCTCTAGCTTTGCTTGGCTCACGTTAGTGAGAGCATTGGTGATTTGCTGGGCTAGAGAGTCTGTGACAAAATGATCTTGTTTTTGATCTAAAAATGAAAGAAATAGTAGTTTATTGGGTTACTGGAGGTATCATTCAATGGCATATCTTATACATACATCCATTCCTCCCATTCATTCATCCATCCATCCATCTATCCACTCATCCATCCATCCATTCATCCATCCCTCTATTTATCCATCCATTCCTCCCTCCCTCCCTCACTCCATCTATCCATCCATCTATCCACTCATCTCTCCCTCCATCTCTCCCTCCCTTCCATCCATCAATCTGTCCATTTATTCATTCAACTCACCTGTAATTGGAGGAATAACAGAGTATTTGCTGCCAATCTTTCCAGTATCTCCATAACCGCCAGACAAGAGCTGCGTAGTACTGGCCTTGGATGTGCTATCCTTGGTACTGTAGATAGGTACYGACCTGAGCTTCCCTGCAATGATCTTTTTATCATATCCCAGAATGCTCATGATGAATGCCGATCACATGATCACC